TGGATAAGAACAACCAATCGCAATGATGCATAATAAAGCTGATTGATGGACAGTCCACGTATTTCTTGCTCCTTCGACAATGTCTTCATAATTTGGAATGTGTTGATTCCCTTGTTGGCTCTCTATGTTCTTCTCTTAGTTAGCTAAAAAGGAGGAATTTGAGGAGCGCAAACAAGAATTGAAGAAAACGGTCAAGCATCTCATAAAACTATACCGCCATGGAAGCCAGCTGAATGGAGGCAATCCTTCAGTGGCAACGGGCGTTTCAGCTGGTGAGTTCCGTGCATTTGGCGCTACTGATGTGGTTTGGGGGGGGGGGATTTGCTCATGTTGAAAATACTGATGAACTCATGCTCATGCTAATAATATTTTAATTTTCTATTTTGAAGCAAAAAAATGAAATGACAGTGGAACAGAGGAGTTAAAGGAATCTTCATTTTAGCCTTAGAAAGTATGTGAGGAGAAATTGACTTTTTCATTTTTATAAGGCCACAAAAAGTTCTTTAAGACTAAAAATTAATATTAACTTCCCTATCCTAAATAAATAAGGAAAATTAATTGTCTGAAGCCCCAATCAGAACAATTTCATGAACAAAATGGCCAGATCGTCTTTTTCAGGAGCTGTTCATTTATTACACATACCGGTACTATTGCTTGATGATCCCAATACTTCCTTGGTCAGGCGTGAATTCAGATCATTACTTGCGATATTGAAAATTCCTATGGGGGAATATTCTAGGAATGGGAAGTTTTTCTTGAAGATATTTCGTTGCGAACACGCCGCTTGATAAAGGAGTATGACACTTTATTTTTGGGCGAGGTATCCTATTTGTGGAAGAGTAGTTGGTAAGTGCGGAGTGCACCAATCTTTGGCCGGAACTCCTCCGTCTGAGTAAGAAAAAGGTTACTCGTTCTGAAAGGATGAGGTGGGGCAGAATTAAAAAGAATTGCCTGGTAAAGGATGAAAGTAATGCAGGCCTATCGTTAGGACATTGACTTAGAAGGTGCTCGAAATGAGTTCAACAAAGAGAAGGAGAGGAAGAGTAAAAGTAGCTGGAACTAAAGCAAACTGCGCTCATGTGGAGGAAGTCTTTCTCTTTTCTTTCTCGAGATGATAATCCTAGTAGGGAAAATTTTTAACTGCAAATTGCCCGACGTTAGGAATAGACAGAGATATTCTTAATGGATTTTTAAGTGTAGAGGGAAACCTCCTTGAAAGAAACTGCCATTTTAAGTGAGTGGAACAAGTCCTCCAGTCAGCTTTCAGATGCAAGTGCAAAAGTAAAATTCCAGTTGCTTTTGCAAAGTTACTATTGTGCTAAAACGACATTAGTTGATAGGCCAATAATTTTTGGATGCTCAAAAGAATGCATACAATTGTGCATGAAACATCCTTGTTCCAGCTGCTATTTCAGAGCCCCAGAAATTTTTGGTTTTTAGTTGCACCCAGTAATAATTTGCCATGCCTTGTGAAAATCATTACCACCACATTTAACGTAGTTAAAAAGCATCTATGAATGCACTTCTTCGAAACCACGAACATTAATGTATGAGTGCCCAAGCCCAAATTACCGAATCCGTGCGACCAAATTGTTTAAGTCAGTTTGCTCCATCGACATCCAATCACGTCCACTTCATGATCGTATGCTGAGAGATGTACACAGTACCATCAGCAAAAAGTGATTTTGAAATGTCCGAAATATAGACGATAGGAACAGACTTTCTGAATAAATATAAGTGAATGTTACACCTAATATTGACGATATATATAGAGGATAGTGACTGACTGACTGACTGACGCTAATTCTAACCATGTTCGAGAGAGGCTAGAAATCTAACACGTGGTACATATGTACCTTTTGGGATGCAGAGATCAGAAAAAATCCGACTTAGGAAGTACATGCCCTGGGGATACACATTTTGGAGGGAAAATTATTTTTTTAAATATATATATTGTGACGGATAAGGATGGTATTGAGAGGGTCGACTGGATGCCTCGAGTTCGGTGTTGTAGTGGTGGCACGTCTGACCAGCAAGCAGGAGGTCCGCGTTCAATTCCCGGCCATTCCTTGGCTTTCATTTGGTTTATTTTGCCTTCCATGTCCCATTACTCACTCCCCCTCCAGAACATTATTTTTGCTTGAGTAAAACGGAGAGACATAGAAAAGTGAAATCGGGCCTGGACGTGCCTACCGAGACAATGAGTTCAGGAAAAATGGAAAATGTTAGATTCATGCCATGGGTAAATATTTTCGGGCGCCGACGTTTTAAGTATTTTTTGTCCTGACATATTGAACTAGTGTGGAAAGATGAAACTACCTATTGGGATGCTGCAGAAGAATTCAGACCTTGGAAGGTAATTCCCTTGTGGCAGAAATTTCAAAGGGAGATGTTTCCAAATAATTTTTTGTACCAGTTAAATTGATGAACATGGAAAGCTGAAACTTTGCATGAATGTGACTACTGAGACAAGGAATTATAGAAAAATATTAACTCTTGATACATACCTTGGGGAATTTTTTCGAAGGACGATGTTTAAAAAATTATTTTGTCGTGGCGAATAGGACAAAAATGGAAAGGTGAAACTTGGCATACTTATAAATGAAATGATATTATTATTATTGAGTTGAGGGAGTAGTCAGCTTTCATGGAGCATCCCCTCCTGCCATAGCTTTTTGGTGCGTCGGCTTTTCCAAGCATGATTTTTCACCAGCGAAAAGGGCAGACGTATAATGTTGAAACTTTGTGGACATGTCGTTCTCTGATTATTGATATCGGTAAAAAAAAAGAGTATTTTCCTGTTAAAGCGCCTGAGAGCACACATATTGCAAAAGGCGTATTTATTCGATCCAACAAAACAGAGGGCGCTAGAAAGTTTAAACTCGCCAAAGGAGAACCTGATGGATAGCTGAGTAAAGAAAAATTATACTTTTATTATATATAGAGGATCATGAGCAGCTGACTGATGAAAGTCGCTATTCGCATGCTGAGTTCCAGGAAAATTATACTTTGGTGATATATGCCATAGGGGCACACCTTTTCGGGGAACATCTTTTCAAATAGTTCTCTTTGCATCAAGGAAACGGAGACATATGGAAGCTGTAACTCGGCAAGAACGTGACTGGAGAAGGATTGAGCTCATATGTCAAATGTCAAATTTCCAAAAAAAATTTTGGGGGGGGTAGGCCGATTTCCTTATTTCCTTACGTTTTCACATAATTTTTCATATCCCAGTGAATCAGGAAGAAATAGAAAAGTAGCAGCTGGCTCACGCATAACAGCCGTGATGTTGATTTAAGGAAAAATTAAACTTTTGGTGTGCGCCTCCTCAGAGCACAGCTTCAGGGTGTGTAGCTTTTCCAAATGCATATTTTTCCGGCAGCAAAAAGAAGAAACGTATAATGATGAAACTGGATGGCATGGAGTTCCCTGAGTCCGCGTTTCAGAAGAAATAAAATTTTCGTTAAAACCCATCATGTCACTTTTTTTCAGTCCCATTTTCCTAAAAATATTTTTGATCCAAAGAAACGAAGACAGAAAATTTAAACTTCCCACAGAAGTACCTGTTTCATGGCTGAGTACATGAAAAATCCTACATTTGAAATATGTCCCCTTATCGTAGATTATAAGAGGGAAGTATTTCTAAATGTATTCTCCACCGTTACAAAAAGCGACACAAGAAAAGATTTCAGGTTAGGCACACGAGAAATCATTAAAGTAATGATTTTGATAAAAATGAAGACTTTCGTCCCCAAATGTCACGTATTTCAATGGGGACGTACTTTAAGTACGTGCCTGCCATTTCGCAAAGAATAAATGAATTAATCACCATCCATGGTAATGGTGCGCCGAAGGCGCGACTATAGCGAGTTTGTTTGCCCGAAAGGCAAACAAATTCGCTACTACACATATATTTTTACACCTTAACTTCAGATATAATAGGCTGATGATTAAAATTTTCATATCATCTTAATTTCCCAGCAGAACAGAGCATTGGTCCAAATTTAATTAAAGTCAGAGAGATTCATGATTTGCAATGCCTTAATTTGACTCCAAATAATAATTTTGAACTTGAATTTTCGATCGCATTTCGAGTGGATATGAATCCACCATCCATGTGATCGTATTCTATCATATACTCTATATATGAAAGGTCCTGGTTGATTTATATTTCCTCCACCCATTGGCTAATGCCTGGAGTCTCCTTCGGCCAGGTAATCACCTTAAATGTATTAAAGAAGGTATTCGAAAACCTTTCTCCAATTAGTCCTGTAGAGAGGAGACGGGAAAGCAAATAAAAAATACATGTATCTTGTTCCAGTATCTTTAATGAATGAAATATCTTCATCAGTAGTAAGGGCACAAGTTGCGTAGGGTTTTTTGGACCTGAGCAACTGGCCATTTCCTTAAAGGCCTATGAAAAAAAGAAAATGATGCTGTTTGTTCCTCACTTTGTCGCATATTTTTCCATTTTGTATATGTGAAGTTGCCGCCTAAGAAATTTGCTTGGTGTGCATCTGCAGCCTTCAGACTGGTTTGGGGTGAAAGTTGCCTACTTAAACTGCAATTTTCCTTCCAAAGGTTGCAGTTAAGGGATTCATGGCTGGCAATCGGAGAGAGCAGCTGACTGCAGCAACATGGAGACGATTTTTCACCGTCTTTGACTGCAGATTAATTACAGCAATCATGTGGGTTTTTTTTGTTTAGGTTCGCCAAGATGGATATGCACGGGTACAAAGGTATGAGTTTTGATGGATCTTTTACTCTGCCAAAATTTGATGACGACAAAAACAAGTATTACTCTGAAGATGAATGTGGAACAAGAGATTCCAAAAAAACCTTAAGAAGAGGTAACGTCATGAGTTTATGCCCATTAAAGGAAGGAAAATAATCTGGGAAAATAGTGGATTATTTAAAAAGGGACAATATTAAATAGACAAGTGCAAGTTTTCGAGAAGCGGTAATCATAGCTTTCAGAAAGTTTACATCTCCTCCGTTACCTATGACAATCAACTGCGGATAACGACAAATTAGATCACCGATGCAAGCTGCCTTGATGAAAATCCCGCTGCGTGTTTCCAGTGCAACACATCGTGAGAGGTAATTCTTCAATCCCTGAAAAAAGACGTCTATCAACTACTTTTTCGAGTCTAGAGATTCTAGGCCCGCGGGCATAACAACAAAACCCCAGAGAGGCTCTCGAGTTGCGTTCCACTGTTCCTAACGACCAACTGCTTATAATCACTCCAATACGTCTATCACGAAAAGCTCTGCTTTCCATGTGCTTAGTTCAGCTGCAGCCCTATATAGTGCTGGTGGAAGGCAATGGATATGAGTGGAGAAAATATACCATGTTAATTAAATAAATAAATATTCCTACTGCATAAACCATGGTAAATGGCTTATTTCTGAAAGCGGCATATTTCACTAGACAGAGGAGGCATTATATTCACGAGCAATTAAATTCCGCTGTTTCTTGCTACTTTGCCTCTCTCACGTGCCTCCGAATTTTCGAAATCATTATTACGAGGAAGAGAAAAAAATGTTTACGAGCCCGATACTTGATTATTTCTCATAACGAAATGTCACTACCACTCACTTTAAAATGGGAGTAGACGACGAGGAAGAAGTGCACTGCAATGGAATATGCGATTAAGAAAACGACAGCCACGATGATGAAGATGATGAAGAGACCATGCGGTGCCAAGACAAGAAGCCCGATCAGCATTATGCAGATGAAAATTATTAGGCCTGCGATCAGCGCCAGCAGCTCCAGAGCCAACCATGGTATCATTAGATTCCTCTTCCCTTGAAACGGTAAAAAAATACAGTCTGCAACACTTCACAATCTTCCTTGTATGACTTCTTATCGTTTCGTAGAATTTGCTGATGAAAACTACTGAAATATTACCCTAGTACCATATAACATTGAAACAACAATGATTCAACGGTGATTCAACAACCGGACGTTGAACCAACATTGAATCAATGTTAGTATAAGGTCCTACAGTGTACTAGAGTATCAGCAACTCACAGGTTACACATCGGATATTATGTATATGAACAGGGCTAAGCAGAATATGCTTTTAATCACATTAGAGATGTCCAGAGCCACTCAGTGGTTTCTATGGACTCGGAGTAAAACTAAAACAGCCCTTGATGCCCTTTGGAGGTCCGTTGTCCACTTGCGTTCCATGGGTCAACACTTTTCCTTACTGGTCGCGGTGTCATGAATAAACAAAGGGTCACTCTGACAATGTAGGCTGGTCTAAATGAACTCAAGGTATAGTTATCTACTAAATTAGGACGTTCCCCCCCCCCCCCCCCCCCCCCATTGGGAGCCCTAGTGATGTCGCGGTTTAAATGCACGTATTTCCTTTAAACGTTCATCATTTTTTATTTTGAAATGAATATTGCTTCATAATGCATATAATTTCATGTTGCGATCAAGAAATATTTTATTTCCTGTTAAAAATATTTTTTTTAATTACACGCTATACCCTACACAATGGAAATATAATTTCATATTTCAAGTCATCAAAGTGATTATAACAACTGCGAAAAAGCATCAACCTGACACCTTGTCTGCTGCAGAGTGGACACTGTGATGGAAAATTAACTTATTATTAACATTTTCTAAAGAAGGCATTCTTTAGCGGAACGTGGATTACATTTTGTGAAACTCCGTTCCATCCATGAGGTTTGACTATTATAATCATTATTGAATTCATGATATAAATTCCCCACATCAGGAACAAAATCACTCGGGCATATTTTGACCCGATGTATATTTGCATAAGCTAAAATGAGTTTGACGTTATTTGCTACGCTTGCGCCAATAGTTATTTAGATACACCCTTAGTTTCATCTCTCCAAATTGCTATGTTCATTCACATATTTTATCTCCAAATCCTCAATGGCGTCATCATCAAACGTATACGATCATATTATCCAGGAGCCCAAGCGCTTTGGTTTTACTTCATGCATTGTATTTACCACCGAGCCTGAACAAACATCAGACACCATGCAAACTTCGTTTCCTTTCATTTGCTGCTCATTGCAAAAAAAGAGTGGCAAAAGAAAGTTTCCATTTATCTTTCACATGTTGGATTTCCAGAATATCCTGACGCACAGAAAGTGCGTTTCAATGGTTGATGTATATTCAACTTCTCGGGGAATAGGCTGAGATAGGGAATTAGGGGAATAGGCTGAGATAGGGAGCAACATATGATTGGCTCAGATACAAACCTTCCGAACTCCATGAATGAGAAGAGAATCAACTATGATGAGCGCCGGAAGGATGACCATGCTGGAGATAAGAAGATTCGTATATGCTAGAAGAGAAAAAAAGGGATGCATAGTAAAATCCCCCGAAATCATCCTTACTTGTTTTACAACGATAAAATTTCAGTTATTGCCTTAAAAAAAACAACGAAACACATGAAAATCTTAAGACTTCCAATTCCAGAAGCGATAACCCACTCTCTTCTGAAAGTTGATCGGTGATTTCCGATCTCATCTCGTATCCACGACTCATGTCGATCACGTTCATCACGAATGAAGCGCAATAGAAAATCTGGAAAAGAAAAAGTTGCATTAGACAATAATCAGGTTTCTTTTATATTGGAGGAACTTGATCCGTATTCAAAAATCGAATTCAGTAAGCACAAGATAATTAAAGCGTTTCTTGGACGACATCGTTTGCGAGCTAGAAGAGCCACTGACTTGATGCCTTTGTGCTGTGATTTTATATAGGATTTTTTGTTTCAAATTTCCTTTGAGTCACTTTTCCTACTCTTGCTATCTTTTTTTCAGGAAGTCCTTCACATCCTGGCATTTTCGATTGATAAGAATAGCTCTAGTCCATTTAAATTTAAATTAGTTTTTGAGTCAAAGTGGTCGATTTTAGAAAATGCTGTTAAGTAAGCGGGACAATTTTGCTTCCTATTCGCCTCTGTTTCTGCATCGAACTAAAAAAAAATAAATCGAATAAGTTTATTTCAATTCACGTGACACGAGCCTTCGACGCTTCCTGCTGAACGTGTATATATTTCCTGCTAAAACTTGTGAATGCGGCGCTTTAAGCTTTAAACTGTTCAGTAAAACTTCATATTATTCAGAGAATGCTCAAAGTGACGTAACGTTACTTCCGCAAATGTGACGCCGATGGAAAAATTATTGTCAATGCTCCCATCAATTGTGAAATACTCTAATAAATGGAAGGAAACATTACATTAATATTAATCTTCCCGCAATGACCGGAAAATTTTGCAAATAAATCATATCTTAAATAAACAAGACTCCAGAAACGTTAGTGCCATACATGTCATGTAATATATCACATATAAAAGAAAGGCGTATAATACGTCTGATGAAAAGGCGCTGTAGCATATTAGATACGTTTGTGTACCCCTTCCGTGTCGACACAATTCCGGCTGGTTGGATAATTTTTGAGAAGCCCATGTGGCCCCTAATCTTCAGCATTGATCAGCATAACGGTGAGCTTCAGTTAGCAAGGGAGAGCGGTTTATGCCCCATTAAGAACAGCATCTTGGGCGATCAGAGAAACACCACAATGTGTTGTTATTCCCTGAGTTAACAGTTAAGAATTCGATGTCGTCCCTGTAAAGCTAAATATTACTTGGGAACCCATCATTCCAAATAGTGTGTTATATTTTTATGTTTGTATTGATTCTCTCGGCATTTAAAAAAAAATCCGCAAACTTATTTCACCTGAAATACATACTCTCACTAACAGCGATCGGACTACGGCGGGTTCTACTCCCTTGCCTTCATTCAAAGCTCATCCGGTTTGTTTCGTAGGCGATTTTCGATAGAAGCGAAACGTCGTCAAAAATATATGTTACTTGATATCGAGAGATATATCTGAGAAAACGTGTTTGCATCTTTGTAAGATGCAAATGACTGAATATTTCCAAGCAACACTTGGAAACATCTGTTGAGATGGACACGGTAAAGATGATTTCAGTGCGGATGTTTGACATGAAAACGCCAAGAATCAGTTTTCTCGTCTATAGATCGGCTATATGAAGGAAGCGACGGGTATTTTGCACATGAAACATAGGAGAGTATCTCAGTTCTTGAATATGACGTCAAATACAATCATTTGTTTCGGAATCGGGTTGGGCAATACGAATAGAACATACTTCAAGAATTCCCTGAAACATGCTGAAGCAAGACAACATCGCCCTCCATCACTTCAAATAACCAGAACTAAAAATGGCGCATCGGCATCTCTCCGACATATCTATTGACCGGCCCCTAGCGACGATTCGGAGCGACAATATTTTTATAGGTCATATTTTTAGGGTACATCCAACCTTTCAATCCACTTTCAGGTCCGGAGATTCTTGCGGCGGCTCTCGAAATTTCCTGTTTCCTCTATCGTTGTTCCCTCATTTTAAGAGACACGCATTTGAAACTTTGAGAACATCTCACTATGCTTTCCGATCATGCCTATGCTAAATATAAATCTCATACCATGAATGAGATTTCTACCATTATGTCATCCGACATTCATGTCAGATTTTACTGCGGCAATCTGGATGAGGATTAACCTAATGCGAACCTGGTAACTCTTCTGATTTTGGGAACACCAAATTTAATTTATTTCCATGTAAAATATATAATGAATGGAATATGTATGGCGTACCTGATTTCGTAGCTAGCATTTACATGATTAAAGTCTCATGAAAATTAGCTTAAGCAATCTTCACCAGACAGAAAATTTCCGACACTGGACCGGAAGAGGAATTTTTCAGTTGTCAAAATATTTATATTAAGGCCCACAAAGGGTTATGGAGTTAGATGCTTCCATGAAGAAAAAAAAAGTAGACATTTATGGACATTATCGGCGTTAGGTGGAAACACCCCCATAAAAATTGACTTTTCGTAAGAGAAGTAGGTCTATTATATAATTCGTGTAGAGGATTGAAAGTCAGTGAATGAGTGAGATAGTTAGGGAGAATCTTGAAAAATAGAGTTAACTGACGCACAAGTACCACGAGCGGGTAGTCCGGTGGTCCGAGGATGCCACATCAAATATTCTTGTAGGAGATGGTACCTTGGGTGTTCCTGGCCATGTGGAATGTATTTAAATCAATACGTCCCCGTTAATCACGTCATCATCTTCATTTTAGTGGGTTAGAACTTTCGGACTACTCGGTAGAACTACCCGTACAAATACTTTTTTTGTCACAGCTCATAAACTAAGAATAGTCGCAGCCTGGTTCCCGCTGCCAAACATTGATATACAGTTCATGGAGCATATATATGCACGAAAGATATGCTGTGGCACAGCGTGTTACATCTGCCACTATCCAAAAATTACAACCAAAATTAGTTCAACACGAATAAAGTAAATGAAAATGGAAGGAACCATGAAATATCAGGAAGCAGGATACACATGGCAACGAAGCGGAAAGTTCATATCATAATGTACAAAAATAGTCCTGACGAACGGACTTAACAAAATATTTATAAGTGCTTCTTTAAGGACCACATCATCGGGAACTGTGTCAGCATCAGTTTTCCCCTGCTTTGATCCAACGATAACCTGATTCTTCTACTCTGAGGGAACTCTCGAGCAGGCAAAGTACAAATGTCATGCACGGATACTGGTTCCGGAAGTAGTAATCAGACTTTATCAAATGTCTGTCTCTGAAATTTGTTCATAGTCATACCATAGGTAGCTCGATAGAGAATGGTTGTTAAAGAGGGAACGGAATGGGGACTTGGGTTGACGTGTCCAGTAAAACTATAGGCAGCAGGTGAACGCAGTCATGAAGCGCACCCGTGATCACCTCAACTACTATGGGTGTTCGATTGTAATGGAGACTTTTAGTCCCCTCTCTTAGACTATGAGTAACAGCCATTGCCATTTTTTCATTTAAACTCCCCTAGTATTAAGACATTTGCAGTCAGGTCCCTCACGATCATAGGAGTGCCGTTGCAAAGGTCTTTCCGAATAATGCGATTCCGTACACGCATCCGGATATATCCAATTTTTAGGATTGGGGCGTGCAGGAAGAGACCCTGAGTACTGAGATTGTTGAAGAATTCAAACAGAAAGGCGGTCTGCCGATCGGTGTCATCACCACCATTATCGTTCTTCACAATTTTGGTACTGTGTTGTGAGCAGCCTATGTCCTTGCCTATGTCCGTGAAGGGCAAAAGCTGTGAAGGCCAGAGGCCACACCAACCATGAATCTCCTTAGCGTATTCTAATATAGTATGGATGTATGGATGGATGAGAACTGGGCCGTTCCAGCATACCAGACAGATGACTCCGATTGCCATGCTCCCATCCTTGTTGCTCAAGAACCCACAGCAACAGCGTTTTACGACTGGGAAAGCCATTTTCCAATGTCTTCTGTTCACGATCTGTAGCAAAAGAAAAGATTATGTTGGCCTGTGGGTAAATGAGATAAAATCTGGGTACATGTAGCGCGCAAGCCAATGCATCCAGAATTAAACTAGATGTCTTGAAAACCCTATTTGACGGTTCATGAAGTGGACTGCATACAGCAGGTTTATTTTTTGTTTTTAGAAAAATCACTGGAAATGCAATTACTAGTTGTTTTAATTATTGATATTATGGTCGTGTAAATGATGAGCTATGGACATTCGAACTTTCTGTATTCCATACCGATAGTTTTAAAGCCTATCCCCAGGAACGGGATTTAGAGCGACCATAAACAGTCCAAATTATGCTTTTCCTTAACGTTCATTCTGGACGTATGTAATACCTATAGACTGAGTGACTGACGCCAATTCTAACCATGTTCTAGAGAATTTAGAAATCTGAAACTTGGTACACTAATTGCTATTGGTATGCAGCATTTATAATGAATCCGACTTTGGAGGTATATGCCATTTCGAGCACTTATTTTGGCGGAGATGTTTTCAAATGAATATTTTTTTGCTTCAGTAAAACGGAGAGACATGGAAAGCTGAAATTGGGCATAAACGTGCCTACTTAGACACCGAAATCAGGGACCATACCAAGATTTAGATGCATCCCCAGTGGTCTTTTTTTTGGGGGGGTGGGAGTAGTTTTCAAAGAATTTTTTTTTCCTAACGAATTGGGCTCAAATAGAAAGGCCCACGTATAACTAACGCGATGTTGTATTCAAGGAAGAATCAACTTTTGTGGTGCATCCCCTTAGGGTACAGCATTTGTGTGGGTCGGCTTTTCCAAGCACGTTTTTTCATCTGCGAAAAAGGAAAGCTTATAAAGTTGAAACTTGTTGGGCATTTAGCTCTCACAGCACTGATTTCTGTATAATAAAAAATAGTACATTTAATATAAAACTCCTCAGGGTACCTATTTTGGCAAATGACGCAATTTCCTGAATCCTTCTTGATCCAACGAAAAAGAGTGCGATATTGAGTTGAAAATCGGCACAGAAGTAACTGCTGCCTGGGTGAGTAAAGAAAAAATCCAACTTTTGAATATGTCCCCTTAGGGTGGATTGTGAGAGGGAAGTATTTCAATATATATTTTCCGCCCCAACAAAGAGGGGCACATAAAGGTATTTGGCACTAGACACCCAAAAATCATCTGAGTAATGACTTCGACAAATATCTCGATAGGTTTTTGCCACTTCGAAAACGAATAAATGATTTAATCACAATCCTAGTTAAAGGAGAGCCGAAGGCGCGACCATTGTCGGTTGTTTCCCCGTCGGGCAAACAAACTCGCTAGCAATGAATATCCCCAATTCGCATCACAGTTCTGCATGCGTTCCAAGATAAGGTTATGCTCCCGTGACAGGTGTCATAGCAAATCGTGTTACCGATCATTATAATTAGAAGTATTACCTTTCCTCATTTAGGAATAATGGTATCTCTACTTCATCGTGCGAGTGAGAATCCTCTCTGAAGCGCGGAGTCTCAACGATGCATCTCTTGAGCAGTTCCTCCTCTGCGCCAAAGATGCTTGTGGAGATTGAGTTAGAGATAGGGAAATTTTCCATTACATGCGCATTCATCTCTACTACAGAAATGAGGCGTTCTCCACGCTAACTTTTTCCCTTTTCATAAGCAATGGTTTAGATATTCATTTTTCTATTTGAAATCCATGAAGGCATCTTGGACGTCGAACCATCCTCCCTCTATCCGCCGAGTCAGAATTTTTTGGAGACTCCTTGGACTGGGGTATTTCGTAAGACCGATTAGTTAAAGAGTTCAAACTTCTTCCTCTGTGGTGTCTGTGAGGGGAAAAGATCGGGAATCGCAAGGAAAGTATCGGAGATAATTCCAGCCGTATGAGGTTCTGACTGGCTATAGCGGATACTTTGCCGCCATCTAGCGTCGATTATGTGAACCTTTGTTTTTGGACACGGTCAAATGAATCATGCTAATAAAAAAAAGCGCCTCTTCAACGTCCAACGAATGTCCATTAAGAACATCGTGTATCGGTGATGAAACGGCACCTTAATTGAACATCCAAAAGCTGTCGGAACCTTGAAAGGTGAAGAAACTCTCTGAGCCAGGACGATAGCGTCCCCTGAGCCTTCTTACGCTAATTGGGTTGCGATGGACGATTCTGTTGCATCAATGGGGAGTAACTGCATGGCGTTGGAATAATGCAGTCTCCTCTCTCTCTGTATCGGGGTAAAGATATACTGTTGCCGTTCACCAACTCCTAATCTCCCAAATGGCCCAGCCGGAAAGAACTAAATATTTCCTGAACCTGCGCCAAGCAAACATCCTCTTTTTCTCTTTGTTTTTACTCATGTGCCTCGTATATCCTCGCTTTAATCCGAAACGGACTCCCCTCTTCTGCCTCTTCCCCCCTCCCCCTTCCATCCCTGTTATTATACTTGCTCGGTAAACGTTAAACGTCATGGACTTTGCTGCCATGGAGTGTCGAACTTGGGAGAGAATAGTATTTGGTAAGGAACGACAGTGTCCATATGCGAGATGGCGCCGTTTCTCTTTGATGTCACATCCGTCCAACCATATCTAACCACAAGACCCTCTTCTGGTTACACCTAGGCGTACATTTTTTTGTTCAAAAGAATTTCAACCTTCCACTTGCAATTACAATTAGGCAGGTAAAGGTTAATATCGCATTTTTTGACACATCTCGGTGAATACGTGTAACGTTAGACATACTGCAGGCATTCACGAACCATTTCAGCGCAGACGCGCAACGTTACGCTTATCAGGAATTCCTCGAACCATTTCGACTAAGTTAGAGAAGAGAATGCCGCCGGGAACGAAACGCATGTTTTGGTTCCATCTCGCCTATTCGGGAATTGCCGTCCACGGTAATTCCACATCCCTTCGATCGGCCGCAGCAAATCAACGCTTCGATCTCGGCTCATCCCATGAACTCGGCAAAGAAAAGTCTCTTCAATGAAGAAACAGCATATCCAGACGTCCATACTAAGGCTGAAGCAGTCATGAATCCGCCATAATTCAAGCACGATATCCAGCAGCACTCGGGGATGGGACGGGACCCCACGCACTAAATCTAAACAAAAGAGAGGTTTTTACTTCTCTGTAGCGATCCGATGCATCGCAAGCAAGAAATAAGCACATTTCGTAAAATACGGATTAATAATACTTTTCTTTTTGGTGGAATCATTTTCTGAAAACACCCCAGAGTTCACCCCCCCCCCCCCCACTATCGGGGTGAGGGGGGTTAGACAGGGATATCGGTGACGTCTTCAATAGAAAGAATTAGGCCCGAATACTGAAACCTCCTTTAGTTAACGGTCCTTTAACCCTTTTAACACAGACTGAATTTGGCTACTATAGCCAACATCACGAAAGCTAGACGAACAATAGTGCATACAATAATGGCCAAACGATCCAAATATTCTAGGCCGTCATCGACTCCATGAGGATTTTTACAGCCAATGACGAAGTTGCTCTCATTTTAGGGACGATATATCGCCCAGCCGTGGTTTAGAGAAGGGGCATCAAGTTCGATATTTCGGTCCGGCCGTGTTAAGAGGGTTGAGCTCATATGGGCTCCTAGGGGGAAAAAAGAGCTCTTTAGCTTAAAGGCCTCTTTATCTTCTTTAACCCTCTTACTGCCAGGCATGGAGTTGCACATCGTGCTTGAAAAACATTGGTAAACAAATTTAACGTTTTTAGCAGAGTTATCTGCGATGAAAATGAGGATAGTATGAGATATCAGGCAGACAGAAGGATTTTGCCATCTGTTAGTAAAAACATGAGTCACGTGCGAAAGAAAACATTCTTCGTCCGATCGGCCGAATCGGCTCATCGAAGTCAAAAAGTTAAACGAGCTTCATGCATACGGACCTTATTGCACTCCACAACACTGCGAATTGAAGTTTAAAATTCTCTGGAGGGAATCTGCGCCGAGAGGGGAAGAATCTCGCCCGATTTCCTTCCTCTAGACACTCTCCGAGAAAAATGCGTGAAGGCGGAATTTTGTGACAGCGAAGGGTCGAAGAAAAGGAAGAAGCGCCTGAGCACCTGTTCATTCTAGGGCCAGAGCCAAGAAAGTCATCCTCTCTTTCGATTCTAGTGCCTCACTTTTCCTATGCGCGTACTTGGTCCTTCCTTCACTACAGGGAAAAAAAAAGTTATTTTATATTCTCCTTTTCTTCCATCCTCATCTTTCTCTGTGGTCATTCCCGCTCGAAAAACGCCATGCCTAAGCTAGCATGCGGCTGCTGAACCTGACCATGAATGAGTTACCACATAGCGGACGAAAGGTCATTTCATGCGAGATGACATGAGGATGGAGGGTGTTAAAGTCATGTATTGAAGAGGTCCATCTCTAAGCCCGTTTTCTTAAAATCCGTCATAGGTATGTCACGAATGTATATGACGGAGCTCATGACATGGTAAACAATTTAACCTCCTTGGACATGGGTGGCATGTACGCGGGCCAAATCGAGGGGTGATTTTTTTTTGTTTTGATGGTCTGAGGAGGTTAAAAATGATCGGAGAATGTAATATATGGAGCTCCTGAAAATAGACAGTGAACTTAATTCCCTTCAACGTCTATTTCTGAAGATGCAGACATTTAGACAAAGCATGCTTCCAAGCATTTCTTGTGGGCTGAACTATATATTATTAGTTTGGACGGGCAATTTCCAAATCTACAGAACCGATTCCCCTTTAAAAAAAAATAAGAGGAAGCGTACTAAAAAAGGATTTAAAAATATATATATATAATTAAGAAAGTGCGCAAATTCAATTTCTTGATTTCGGCTCATACCGATCAAAACATTCGAATGATATTGAAATATTCACCTGTTCCAAAAGTCACGCTTTTGGCGATTCGCAGATTGTCCAATGAGGAAATGGGAAAATTTTTCACCTGAGGCTCCCAGGTATAATAATTCCCCCCCCCCCCCCGCACTCCACTCCGAAAGCACTTAAAATCACGAAGCAGACAAAGGACTACCTGCAATCCACGGAAGGCCCGAGCGGAGTGGGCGAGAGAGAACGAGATCCTGCGACTTCCCCATCCCAGATCGATTCAGTCGCGTTCTGCCTCATGAGCGCAGGCGTTGGGTTTGGGCGTGAGGGAATTTGCTGGGATGTGGGAGATAGACTCGCGAGCCCGGGCAGTCGCGTTGAAGTGCAATCTACCCTGAGGAAATATGCAGATGGCTTGGACATTAATACGTGGTGGTCGAAGTTAGTGACTGGAAGAGGTTGAAGAAAGGGAAGAGGCGCCAAGCGCCTGTTGATTCTATAACCTGCACCAAGAAATCATCTAAGTTCCTCTTTC